AACTCGTCTAACATGTCTTCTAACCTTGGTACAGGATGTCGATATTTAATGGTGATTTGGTTGATACATGATAGTCCATACACATCCTCCATGATCATTCTATCTTTGGGACAAGTAGAACCAAAACGGTACATGGACTTAAGCTTTCATGAATGTATCCCTTTTCCATCAATTCTCCCACTTGCTTTTGAAGTTCTTTGGTTTCTTTAGGATTGCTTATATACGTCGGTCGATTTGGAATGGTTACACTAGGTATGAAGTCGATTTGATGCTCTATCCCTCTAATTGGTGGTAAACCACCAGGGATGCCTTCTTAAAATAGTTCTTCGAACTCCTGCAATAAAGATGAAATATAAGAAGGCAAGTAATTTGGAATGTTAGTTTAAAGAAAGCTTTCCTTGTACATAAGTAAAATTAGAGCTTTGTGTGATAAAAGATGTTCGAATGTCATTTACTCTAGCATAGACGTTTATCTTTGTTGTTTGATCCTTCTTGATAGATTATAAAGCCTCAATCTTCTTTTCAAAGTATTCTGATTTTCGGATACTCGGCTAGGTGAAAGAATAGTCAAAATGACTTTTCTTTCATTGTATAGGAACGAATATCTGTTTGTGAACCCATCATGAACAACCCTTTTGTTAAATTTCTATGGTCTTCCTAAGAGTAAATGATATGCGTTCATTGGTACCACATCGCAAAGGACTTCGTCTTGGTATTTTCCAAAGGAAAATGGAATTAGAACTTGTTTGGTAACCTTCACTTCTCCTCCATCGTTTAACCATTGTAATTTGTATGGTGTTGGGTGCTTGATTGTGTTTAATACGTACGAGCTTTACCACCATGAGTGTACTTGCAACATTGGTACAACTTCCTCCATTGATAATCATGACACAAACTTTGTTGTTTACATGACACCGGGTGTGAAAGATGTTCTCCCTTTGATTGTCTTCCATGGATTGTAAGTTCAAAGTTCTTTTAACAACAATAACTTTTCCTGAAGTGGTTGGAAGATCTGACAAAACTTTAGACATTGTTAGTAATAATAATAAGAAATGAAAACCTTACCAGTACACTCGCAAATCCTCACAATTTCACTCCAAAGAAAGTTGATATATCACTCTACTCAACTCTCGTGTTTACATACAGGAATATTGCTTGGCTTTTATCAATTCCCCTTCTGATATCACTTTCTCAGTATGCCTTTTACCACTCAATCTCTCTTGTTAGGTCCTTTAAAAGAACTAACTCAATATTAAAGGCAAATTCTTTCTCTCTTGTGTGTGTCAGTTGAAATTAAGGTTAGGACAGAAAAGAAGATGGAAAGAAAAGAAATGGGTTTAGGAAAATGAATGAAAAGAAAAAAAATAGGAATCTTACAATCCAAGAACAACACTTACTACACCCTTTCTCGAGAGACAATAAGGATATCTCCTTCAATTATGGTCGATGTAGATATGCCTCCACTCTATTAGTCTTTGAATTACAATGGGTCTTTTTTTTGTTTTGATTTTCTTTTCTTTGCATGAATTTATTCTTTTTGTGCTTTTTCTTTTATTTTTGTACTCCTTTGTGTTTTATAGGAGTCTTGAATTTGATTTGCACTTCCTTTTGTTGTTTTTATATGTTGCACGCCTTTGGTACTTCTTTGTGTTAATCCATCTGAGCTCTGAATATCGCTTGATGTAAGGAGAATCTACAATCGTGAGGAATAAGGGAATAGATAGCCTTATTGTGTTCCCGATATAGGAGAGACAACAAATGATTCCCTTAAATTTAAGTATGGCTATAATAATGGAAAATTAAAGGAAATGTTAGAAATTGAAATGAAATAAATTTAAGTAAAATGTAATATAAATAAAGTAATGAAAGAGTTGGTAGCAGAAGAAATATGATGATGATGGTCTTCAATAGTGATGATGAATATGGTGGACGAAGTTGATGAGGATGGACTGCTATGGTGATGAAAGTATCTCAAACTTGCCGAAGAAGAAACAATACTAAGAAGCAAAGCCTCATTCTTTACAAACTTGCTTGGGGGATGGTAGAAGTGTCTTAAACCCACTGGATATGGAATCTAGGGATTATAAGAATCAAAGTGGATAAAATGACACCACAAGTATAGAAATATACTTGCTTAATCAATATAGTTCTTAAAGAACTTGAAAGAGAGATTTAACTAACAAGAGAATTGATTAGAAAAATTAGATGTCTTACAAATGAAATGACAAAGCCTATTTATAGGCTAGTAATGGTTTTGGCCGAATAATTAGATGATGTTTCAAAAAGGTACATGATTCATTTGAAACTACATAACTAATGGAATGAATTAACATGTCTTAATAGCTTGTGTTGGGTCGGCTAACAATTCATGAAGGGACTTGATGATTTGGCCAATGCATGAATGGAACCTTCCTTGGCCGAATAGTGAGGTGCTTGTTCATATTGGAACCAAAGTCTCCCGTGTGCATTGTGTTGTAGGTTAGGTGAATGGTCATGATGTTTGTCTCATACTTCTTCGACAATTAAGCATCTTTTAACCGAATTGACTTCAGCAATATACACCTCTCTTCAATGGCATCCTTCCATGGTAGCACCTTTATTAATGGTCATGTCATTTGGATGAAACCTCTTCATGAATTGGTAGGTTGCAATGTGAATGAGCTAATGATGAGATGCCCGTTGATGCTCTTTGATGTGTTGGTTCATTTGGCAGCTCCTCGTGAAAAGGTATGACCCGAAAAAGCACATATTCGAGAAAAGGCACGATTTGAGAAAAAGTTAATTTTCATAGAAATGATGTCCTTTAGCCATAGATGATGTATATTCAATTTTCCAGCTGAATTGAAGACTCCTTCTAGCTCAAATCTTCAGCTCAATCCAGTTATGAGCTCACTTGTCACCGGATAACATTTTATTAATTGATCCTTATGCTCTCTTGAGTGCTCTTATGCAAGTTTCTTTGCCTTGGACTTTATCCTTTAGCTTAATTTAGCTCCCATAGGTGTAGACGTATGTACATTTATTCAAAGACATAGAATTTAAGTTAAGTATATGAACTAATATAAAGTAACAATGTATATAATATAAAGATGTGGACTATAGATTATATCATATGTTAATATTTAACATGTTATATAACCTATGATTTAAAGTTTCCTTTTCATTAAAAGACTTGAAAGTATGAATGCATTTATGTGAAATAACTTCCCTGAATTGCTTAGCTCTTACTCGAGTGATAGGATCTGATGGCATGACTTCAGGATCTGATGTTGGCCCTGGTATGATCACATCAAGTACCTAATAAAAATATATACTCGAATGAATTCCATATTCAAATCTCAAATAATAAGCAAAAATGCTAAAATAAATACTAAGCATTTTCGGATTAATGGGCTCTCGGTGCTTTTGGGTCATAATTTGGCAAAAAGAATCACAAAATCAGACTCAGGACGTCGAAAAAAGTCAATATGGAGTTTTTTGAAAAATGTCAACCTTGGTTAGTGGTCAATGGTCAACGGTCAAAGGTCAATGGTCGGTCAACGATTGACCGGCTTGTATTGGGTTGGAACAAGTCGGTCAGGTCAACTCAGACAAACGGGTTCGGTCGGACAAGCGGATCGGGCTGGGTCGGCCGTTTCTATAAACCCACCAGGCTGTGGGACTTCCCCACACACAGTGGCGGTGCGTGGCGGCATGTGTAGGGCCTTCGGGGGTCGAATAAATTACATAAAAATCCCTATATATATTTTAAGGGGTTTTAATACACTTACCAAGCTCGGTTCACAGTGGTGAACAATGTAGAGCTCGATTTTGTAACATCAGAAACTTTGTCTTCTTCACCCCCTCACACGCCGACAATAACAGAGACAAGATGGACTCTGGTAGACTCGAGATGATGCAAGGAACATGATGGTGCGAGAGGTGTCAAAAGTGGAACAACGGTCGGTGACAAAACGTCGATTAAAGATTTCCTACTAAAAGAGGAGAGGTTGAAGAGAGAAGAAAAAAAGGGTTTAAACTTTCCATAAATAGAAAGTTTCTGATTTTGGGTTTTTAAACCCAAATCTCAAAAAAATGGTGTAATTACACTATGGGTCCTCCAATTTTAGTTACTTTTTGAATTTTGATATGAATTTAATCAAATTTCTCTTTGGTCCTTAAATTTAATTAAAATTTATATTTAGTCCTCAGAATAAATTTTAAGAAAATTATAGACCCTAAATTGGGGTATTACATTGTATTATTTTAATATGAGTTTAAAACATGTTATAATATAAGTATATGTTAAGTTATGTTATGTTATGTTATGTCATGTCATGTCATGTCATGTCATGTCATGTCATGTCATGTCATGTCATATTATTAAACATTACAATTTAATGAAACAAAATTTTACTGATTTTCGAGTATGAAAAATCCTTTAAAAAGTATGTAACATTTCTGACTCGTGTTAGGGGGTGTGTACAAGAAAGAGGTGTTATAGTCATCGTTTCTTAGGCTTAGTAGTGTATTATCATCGTTTCATCAAGGGCTTCTCCATGATTTCGGGACCGTCGACCAAGTTACTTCAAAAGGGAGTTCCCTTCGTATGGAAAGAGAAGCGCTAAGAGTATTTTAATCGGTTGAAGGAGATTCTTACGCAAGCCCCGTTTTGACAAAAATAGAATCTAAAAAAAACTTTTTCGTATTTATTGATGCATCAATAAATTGAATAGGATGTGTTTTGATGCAAGATGGGAAGGTTATGGCCTATGTGTCTCATCAACTCAAGCCTCACGAATGAAACTATCCTACCCATGATTTGGAACTTGTCGTAGTGGTTTTCGCCTTAGAAAATTTGAAGGTACTACTTGTTCGAAGAGAAGCGCCACATCTTTACGGATCACAAGAGCCAAAAGTACGTGCTCACTCAGAAATAGTTGAACTTAAGGTAGGGAAGATGGGTATAGCTACTAAAGGACTACGATTGTTTGATCAATTACCATTCAGGTAAGGCGAATATGGTTATGGACGCCTTGAGTAGGAAGACCGTAGTGGAGCTGAGAGCTTTACTAGTATTTCTAAGATTGACAGATTCAGGTTGTCTGCTAGCCAAACTTAGAGTGGAGCCCGAGCTTGTGAGCAAAGTTAAGAGATTACAGAGTTCAGACGACCGATTAAAGACCTAAGTAGGGCAAGTCCTCCGAGGTGAGGCCCCAAGTTTTGAGTTACACGAGGGATGCGTATTGTACTTTCGAGGGCGTTTATGTGTGTCATCCCACATATAACTTTAGGGCAAGATCCTTTAATTGGTGCATTGAAGTCCCCTTTCCGTTCATCCGGGTAGCAACAAGATGTACCAAGAGCTTCAACCATTGTATTGGTGGTCAAACATGAAAAGAGAAGTGTCGAATTTGTTGCCAAGTGCTTAGTGTGCCAACAAATCAAGACAGAACATCAGGTTCCCTCAGGGTTGTTACAGCTGATTCAGATTCCACAGTGGAAATGGGAGAGAGTGGCTATAGACTTCGTAACAAGTCAAGATTCAAGCATGATACAGTATGGGTTACAGTAGACTGTATAACCATGTCTGCTCATTTTCTCCCAGTTCCTATGGACTATACGATAGAGATATTGGCTTAACTTTATATCCGCGGGATTGAGAGATTACATGGGGCCCCTATCTCTATCATTTTCGATAGAGATCCACATTTCACTTATCGATTCTGGAAGGCACTACTTGACGCTTTAGGTATAAATTACATTACAATACTGTCCTTCATCCTCAGATACACAGAAAGTTTAAGCGAGTTATTCAAATCTTAGAGGATTGCTTAGGTGCACCATTTTGGATCTGAATGGCAGCTGGGAAGATCACTTAACTTTGGTAGAGTTCGTGTTCAATAATAGCTTCCAGAAAAAGATTCAGATGGCACCGTATAAAGCCTTGTATTGGTGCAAGTGGACAACTCCCTTGTGTTGGATGGAACTCAATGAGGGAAAGATAGTAGGCCCTGACATAATCCGAGAAACTAAAGAAAAAAATCATTTGATTCAGAGTCATTTGAAAGAGGCTTGTAACGGACAAAGGTCGTATGTCGATTTGAAGTGCAAGGATATAGAGTTCGTAGAGGGAGACAAGGTATTTCTCAAGGTTTCCCCATGGAATAAGGTATATCATTTTGGAAGAAAGGGTAAATTGAAACCACGATTCTTCGGGCCGTATAAGAATTTGGAGATAGTTAAGCCAATGGCTTATTGTCTGGCATTATCTCTAGAGTTGGAACGCATTCACAATATGTTTCATGTATCTACACTTCAAAGATACCAGTCTGGCTCGTCATACGTTATCTTGCTTGAACAAGTTGAATTAAGGCAAGACATGGCCTATGAGGAAGAACTGATCAGAATCCTTGCCAGAGACGTTAAGGAGATGCAGAACAAGAAAATACCTTAGTAAAGGATTTGTGGAGAAAACATGGCTTTGAGGAAGCAACATGGGAACCTGAAGAAGATATACAACTTCAGTATTCATACCTCTTCTAATTAGGTAAATTTTGAGGATGAAATTTCTTCTTAGGCGGGGAGAGTTATAACGCCATAAAATTCAAGTTAGGAGTTTTGAATATATATATATATATTATTTGGACCTTAGAATAAAATCCTCTTTGCCCATGAAGAGTTAACCCAAGTAGTAAATAATTTGGGCTTGGGATGAGCCCAACAAGTGAGAAAAAAGGGTGTTTTTAATCTGGACCTAAATGTGGAGGGACTAGATGAGTAATTTAATCATTTATTTGAATCAAAGTTGATTTATTGAATTTTACTGATATCATGTCTGCCACTCCTCCCTTTTTCATGTATTGTTTGTCTACTCTTCCTCTCTTATCTTCACATTCTTCCTCTTCAAGAAATCAAACTAAAGCTTTGAAATTTAAGAGTTCTAGACACTCTTTCTGAATCCTAAGGTAAGAATTACAATCATCATCTCCCAAGCCCCAATTTGCAAGTTTTGGTTAAGTTTCACAAAATTGGTTTTTGCTGGGGTTTAATCTTGGGGAAATTTTGGGTTATATGATTATTTTTAACACATTTCTAATCTTTAAAATAAGTTAATAACTCATATTCTTTGTCCTAATTAGTTCAAGAGAAGGGTGAGAGCTCTAAGGCAATAGGAAGGAAAAAATCTCTCTTGGGTAATTTAAGGACATTTTTCAACAAGCCATCATTCAAGGTAACACGATTCTAACTTGTCCATACCACATGTAGTTCATTAAATGTGCATAAAAGCTATGTTTTGTTCATAAAAGCATGTTAGAGTGATTTCATGGAAAGATTTGTATATGTGTGTTATATGCATGAAATATGGTTCATTTTTTTTTACCTATAAGACATTAATAAGCTTTGCTAGGCTTAGGTGAGTGCTTGGGTGAGATATGAGTTTTTTTTGCTCAAAACAGAGCATTATGTTCCGTCGGTATCGATACTGGAAGAACAATGTTGATATTGTTCGTCATGAAAGGCCTATATTAGGATATTTTACAAGGGAAGTATTGATACTCCCTATAAGAGTATCGATACTTGGGGCTCGTTATCGATCCTCAGAGGGTCAGTATAGATACCGACATATTTTTAAAAACATCAAAGCTAAATTTGGTATCGATAATCACGAGGGTATCGATACCCAAGTATTTTTCAAAACAATGAAGTAAATTTTTGTATCAATACTTGGTTGAGTATCGATACTCACGGTGATTTTTGGGCATTTTTGTTCAATTGGTTTGGGAGTACGGGCTTGGTTGTTTTGAGCCCATATGAGCTACAAGTGTTCAATACAAGTGAAAATAATTAAGACTTCTAATTTCTCACCTAGAAATCAAGCAATATATGATGACACAAGATTGGCCTTGTGTGACACTCGGGAAATGAATTGGACACACGAGTTACTTTAACATTATGAAGATCATTCTTTTCTTGTGAATATCCGTATATTGTTTGTTTGGTATGTATCTGATGCACGTAAATTTTGGGTCATACCGGTACAAATTTTGATACACGTAAATTCTAGAATCATACCCCCATGACTAGGTATTGGATGTAAGCTTTCGATGCATGTAAATTTTGGACCTCGCCCGACCTTTCCAGGGTCCGAGGTAGACTGAAGGCCATAAGTTCTGACACAAGTATATTCTGATTTTTGGCCCAAAGCTATCACGTTCTAGATAGGATAGTGTGTTATCCAAGATGCACGTAAATTCCTCCAACTACACCACTTGGCCTATCTCATATTTGATATGTACCTACGCATGTTTATGACTTTGCATTTAAGCATGTTCATGTAATGAATACATGCAGTATTGCATAGTTATTTTCATGGCACTAAGCTTGTGAGGTCAGCGCTCGGAATATGTTTTCGTGTGCAAGTTAGTTGAGGATCGATGAGGGAGCCTATCACATCTGTCCATTCCAAACTAACCGATTAGCAGAGTATGTCTTGAGTATTTGTAGAGGGCATGTATTTTATATAGACCTTGTATAGTCGAATCATAACTCTACTTTGATTTTAAACCCTATGGTCATGATGTACGTATTTTGGAGGACTCCTATATTTTGTAAATGTTGAATTGATTTCCGCTGCAACTTATAATGAATTATTTTGATGATTACAAACGTTTTAAAAAGAAATTTCCTGGTTTACCATTTTAGTGGATCCAAGTGACATTGCAATTCATGGATCTTCGGGTCAGACTGGATTAGGGTATTACATTTCTGGGTTTAAGATTCGATGCAAGGGATGCTAATTTTTTTCGGGCTTGAAATCTTTTACAAATGGAAGACTCAATTTTTCAAGAACAAAAACCTAGAATCAGTTTTTGAAAAGGAAAATGTTTTTCTTCTGTTTGATTCAAAGAACAAACTAAACAATTCATTTTTGGTTTGGAGATGAAGAGTTTTTTTATTCTCAGTTTTTCTTCAATATACGAGGAATAGCGTGCCCAAGAAGCTTAATGTATTTAGTTTAGGTTTTTAATATTTTTTAAATTGTTTCCCACCTCAATGTAAACCCAATCAGCGCCCAGTCAGCACTAAACGAGTGAGATAGGCAAGTTAATGTTCCACGTTGCCCGAAAATAACGGCTCTATTGGGCAACAACATATTCAGTTGGTCAAATGACCACATTGAGCTTTTTTTTGGGAGTTAGAGGGTCATATTGATCGAAAAAAAGGATGAGGGTCAAATTGTTTTTTTAAGTATAGGGACCTTGGGTGCCTTTTTACCAAAAAAATAAGGGATTCGTTACGTAGTTGGTAAAGGCCTTGGCTTAAATTCTTTATAATCCCCAAAAATGTCTCTTTTGTTTTTTTATCTTGCAGCAGGAGATGTTAAGGGAATAATCCCAAAAAAGATCTTCAGACTTTATCCTAGTTCACGGATTAGTGCAAATTAGCGTTGGATTACAGAAAATAATTTTTTTAGCTTCAAATCGGAGTGTGACATTCAAGGATTCAGAAATCCTCTCTTGTAGGGGTGTTTATTGAGCGAGTCGATCACGAGTTGGGCATTGCTCGACTCGTGCTCATTAAAAAAATTTGTTACTTGACTCGACTCGTTGCTCGTTAAGCTAGTTAAAATTTTGCTCGGCTCATGCTCATTAAGAAAACTTGTTGCTCGACTTATTGCTCGTTAAGCTCGTTGCTCATTAAGCTCGTTGCTCATTAAGCTCGTTATTCGTTAAGCTCGATGCTCATTGCTCGCCTCGTTGTTCATTATGTTCACATGAATTTTTTACCTTATTTTGTTAACTATAGGTAAAATCTACTAATACTATATAGAATTTAATATAAACATAAATTAATAAATTGAACCAAAATATTTATCAAGAGTGTATGAAGTAATTTTAAAGTCTAAACTCCAAAGTAACAATCCACAAATACATTAAAATAATAAATAAGGTTTGATTTTTTTAGTGTAAACAATATTTTTTTAAGATAACTACTAAATATTATATAAAAACAATTAACGAGCTTCTCGCGAACTTATCGAGTCGAGTTGGACTTTGCTTGACTCAACTCGTTAACGTCTCGAGTCAATCTCGAATTCGAGTCGAGTAAACCCGAGTCAAATTCGAACTACTCACGAGTTGCTCAACTCATTAAACACTCCTACTCTCTTGAGTCTATAAATAAACCTCGAGACGCCTCAACCGGCTCTCACGAAAGTGTAGCGGAAAAGAACTTTCTCGGACGAAGAGGATCCACATGGTTGAATCTCTTACCAAGATTTTCTTTAGTAAGTAGCTACATCATTAAAGGCAAACCTTCCAAATAAAACTCTTAATTTTTGGTGCCACCTCGAATCACCATAACTGCTTCCAACCATCTCTGCCTATTCATTAAATTATGGCGAATGATACAACACTATTCTACAATATGTTCCGTGCTTTGCATGCAAAACCAGGCATGATGTTAGTCATGCTTTTACCAATTGTATTGTTTGGTAGGTTAAAGAAACAATAACTAAAGGTGAATTTCTTTGAGTTTTACTTCTATTGATATTGTATTATTTATGATTTCAAAAATACATTTTAGTTTATACCTAAATTGTTTAGTAGATTATGTATTTAGTCACGCACTTATTCCGCAATTTCGTTTCGTTCACTAAATTATTTATTTTCAAAATACATAATATTATATTTTTTTTTCTGATATGATCAGTTAAAAATTTAAGGAAAAAAACAATACTAAGCGGACCCTTATTTTTTTTTTAGAAACGTTATTGTTTAGGTGCTGAACTGACGGGGATGCGAAATGCAAGGGTCAAAATCAACCTATAAACCTAATACGTCTTAGCTAAAATTTGAAGATTTGTAGTTGGGGTTCATGAATTCAATTCGTAATACAAGTAGTGAAGTTTGATTGTTCTCTTGGAAAGAAATCATCAACAAACTCCAAATCTAATTAAAACTGGAGGACCTACTGCCTCTAAACATTAACCTTTCCATGGTGGGAAAGATAGGTTGGTGGTGAATATGTGGAGGTCTTAGATAGTCTCAGCTAGTATATATATTTTGACCACATATTGGCTTATCAGAGGGTCCATTTCCACTTCACTGGTATGTTGACAACAATGAAGCTTTTGGGCCGGTAACACTGCCTAGTCATTTATTTCAATGTTTCTTTCTCTTAATTTTCTTTTTAAATGTCAACCTCAACAAACTATTCACAACTTTATTTTTTATTTTGTATCTTCTATATATATCTATTGAAAGAGACAAGTCTTTTGTATTACTATTATTATTATTATATTATTATTATTATTATTATTATTATTATTATTATTATTATTATTATTATTATTATTATTATTATTACTTTCATACTCTTTAAGCCTTCTTTTGTTTGGAGAGCAATTTTTAAAACTATTTTTTAAAATAAATAAACATTTAAAATCTTTTT